TGTTGACCAGGATGGTCTCGATCTCTTGACCTCGTGATCCACCCGCCTCGGCCTCCCACAGTGCTGGGATTACAGGCTTGAGCCACCGCGCCCGGCCTTAAGCTGCTACTCTTACTACCACCTCTTTTCTGAAACTTCACTGATCATTCAAATTCAATTTAACCTTTCTTTCCTTTGTGTTTGGACATTTTACTCTTTGTGTTGTTCTATAGCACTATTCACAATTGGCCTAGCATTATGGTTTTCTAGGTCCTGCCCCTTGCTAACTAGATGATGATAGTCTCTAGAGTCAAGTCGTATCTTATTCATTATCTATCTGTCTGTCTATCTACCTATCTGTCTTCTTTCATCTATGCTTGGCTTCTAGCATACATAGCACCTTACATATAAAAGTTTATTGATTTTAACTGCACTTGAATGAAGAACCTGCAACTGCAGCAAAAGGTGTACATAACTTTCACGTGTGTTTACTTACATATTCTGTATTTATATTTTTTTGATTGGAGGAATAAGAATTCATTTATCTTCTCTAGTATTTAGCTCATGGTAGACATTTAGTAAATGTCAGTCAAGTCCAGCCCAAATGTGCTAATATATTTTTATATATGCCATTTGCCAGATTTGACTGAACTAACCATAAATCAGAAGTAGCAGAACACAAAGGGGCTAGAATTACCTCAAGAACAGTATAGTTGGAAAATCCTTTGGCAGAGAGTTTAAAGATGAGGTCTGATTAAAAAAAAAAAAAAGAAAAAAACCAAAAATAGACCTGCCATATGATTGAGCAATCCCACTGCTGGGTATCTACCCACAAGAAAGATATTGAAGAGATATATGCACTCCTGTTTGTTGCAGCACGGTTCACAATAGCTAAGATTTGAAAGCAATCACAGTGTCCATTTACAGATGAAAGGATAAAGAACATGTGGTACATATGCACAGTGGAGTACTATTCAGTCGCAAGAAAGAATGAGATCTTGCATTTGCAACAACATGGATGGAACTGGAGATCATTATCTTAAGTGAAATAAGCCAGGGACAGAAAGACAAACATCACATGTTCTCACTTATTTGTGGGATCTAAAAATTAAAACAATTGAGCTAATGGACATAGATAATAGAAGGATGGTTACCAGTGGCTGGAAAGAGTAGTGGAGGGCTAGTGGGAAGGAACGGATGGTTGATGGGTACAAAAAAATAGAAAGAATAAATAAGACCTACTATTTGATAGCACAACAGGGTGACTATAATCAACAATAACTTGAACATTTAAAAATAACTAAAAGTATAATTGGGTTGTTTGTAACACAAAGGATAAATGTCTGAAGGGATGAATACCTCATTCTCCATGATGTGATTATTTCACATTGCATGCCTGTGTCTAAAATATCTCATGTATTCCGTAAATATATACACCTACTAGGTACCCACAAAAATTAAAAATTAAGATGAGGTTTGAGTTTTGCTGGGAAGGATAAGTAAAATTTCTGCCAGTTTAAAGAAGGTTCTATCTGTGTGATCTTAGGTGATTTCTTCTTGCACTCTGGACTTCAGTATTCCTACTGTGTCATTAGGCAATCAAGTTAGATGACATCCAAGGTTGCCTCTGGCTTTGATGTTAGGTGCATCTTAAAATCTTTAACTTGGTTCTGTTTTATACCAGTGACTGTAGAATCCAAGGTAATGAGTAGAAAGAGGTAGTTGTTGGTGAGCACATTCCTTCCCTGAATCCCTGACTACTTTGAATCAGTATGTAAAGTACTTTACACATAGTGGCTACCTGAAAGGTGTTTTCTTTACTTTCTTTCTACTGTAGCACTGTATCTTTATGCTTTTTATAGCATGCTTCAAAAGAGGCACAAATCACTTCCCCTCCTTGGTTGCCTCTTGACCAGTATTAAGTCTAGAGACTGCATACTAAGAAATATCAAATTACAGGCCATAGATGATGGGTCTTCTACAGGAGCCATGGCTTATAAATGGCAGAGCCAGGACTTAAACTTGGGTCTCCTGACTTTAATTCCAACCATCTTTTAAAATATTGTCCTACCGAGCAACGCGGAGGAAACAGGAGTGAACTGAGAGCATAGTGACCAACATGAGCCTCCTTAACAAGCCCGAGAGCGAGATGACCCCACAGGAGCTGCAGAAGCAAGAGGAGGAGGAATTTAACACAGGTCCACTCTCTCTGCTCACTCAGTCCGTCAAGAATAACACCCAAGAGCTCATCAACTGTGGCAACAATAAGAAACTCCTGTGCCGCGTAAAGGTCTTCAACAGGCACTGCAACTTGGTGCTGGAGAATGTGAAAGAGATGTGGACTGAGGTACCCAAGAGCAGCAAGGGCAAGAAGTCCAGGCCAGTCAACAAAGACCGCTACATCTCCAAGTTGTTCCTGCACCGGGACTCGGTTATCGGGGTCCTGCGGAACCCATTCATCGCCGGCAAGTAGGGGCCTCCCATCCCTACCCATCGACAGAACTCACTCCCCTATCCTATGGAGACCGCTGCCGCTGGTGTTGAGAATAATAAAGCTCTGTGGTTTTTTGTAAAAAAAAAATAATAATAAAATAAAATATTGCCCTACTTTTTGAAACCTCACAGTGCTCTTGCATTAATTATAGAGTCATTCAGTTGATTCATAATTAATACTTCAATATGATTAGTTGCTCATAAATTATTAGGTTCCCTGAGCCTCTGGGGCATTGGTAAAATGTGATCACTCTGTCTTTCTCTCTGTCTGTTGTAGTCATTTGTTGTTCAGGATGAATTGAAGGGTGCTATCTGAGCTGTCATAATGGTTGGCCTCATGCCTAGCTTTATATTGCAGCATGTTGGAGGCATTGGTTTTTCATTCTTCCAAACCTTTGGTATACAGAGACTATTAGAAGATGAAGGTATATTTGCTCTCCTTTTTCAAAAGTTGAGTATGTTTCTTATTTTGGATCTGTTTTCCTGTAAACAAAGTTTAAAATGGTATAGGTTTAAAAATATGCTAATTATTATGGTGAGTGTAGATATACAAAGTGACCATTGAAGGGATCAATGAGTGTAAAAAGAGGAAAGAGAACCTATAGGAAAGGGATGGTTGGAGGACTGCAGGAAAACTGGAAAGTAGTATAAAACCCTAAGTTAAGTAAGTTTAGAAGGAAGTAATCAAGAAAGCACAAAATTGTGTTCTGTGAGTACAGGTGAAGTTCCTGGAAATGTTTGGCATTGAGGAAATAGATTTGGGGGGTCTTGAAAGAGTATTTCAGGTATTTAAAGTTCTGTCCAGGGAACAGATAGTGATCTTTTCTGAATAGCTCTAAGATAAAGGATTTAGTACTAACAGAAGTAAGTTTTTTCTTTGTCTATTCATTTGTTTATTCAACAAATCTTTTTTTTTTTTTTTTTTTTCCAGATATAGTTGGGTTGGAAAATATGGAGAACTATAACTTATTTTCTATGCAAATTTTTAATGGTGTAAGCTAAGCAGATGTGGTGACCTAGAAAATGAAAAAGGGAACATAAATTTATAAAAGAAGCAAACTTTTTTAAAATTTGTGTCGGTAAACAGATTGGGAATGGAGGAGACTATTATTTTTCTGAAATAATTTTTACTAGACTTCACTACTTGTGTTTAAACGTTTACTCTTTAACAGTATCTCTCCTATTTGTTTAAACTTTTCCTAATTTATTTCCAGTAAACACTTAGAACGATTTCTATTTCTTACAGACAGACATGACTATGTAGGTAAATAGTTATGAAAATAAAAGCCAGTGTGTGTGCGCCCCCGTCTTGTTCTTTGTTGATGGATACCTGGAGGGAGGTGAGAAGGGAGGTAAGGCAAGTGGATTCTTAAGTCAGGACATGTGGCTGCTACATATTGTCTATTATCTCTTGGCTCCACAATCATTTTTCTTTTTTTTCTTTTTTTTTTAACTCCTCCACTCTAAAAAGGGTGGGAGCTCATTCATTATTTTTTTTTTTTTAAGAAAGAGAGAAAGAAAGAGAAAGAATAATAATAAAAAAAAAGAATGAAGGAGAGGAAGAAAGAGGAAGAGGAAGAGGGAGAGAGAACAGGGCTGTTGCTTTATTGCCCGGGGTAGAATGCAGTCTAAAAATGGGTATGCCTTAATTGTGTTTAATAATAGAGACATAAAAAAAAATGAGGGAAGAAAATAATTAACAAGCAGCCAACCTGTATTTCATTTAAACCTATAAATAGGTGTGATATGGTACTGATAAGAGTGTATATTTTGTGTATTTAAAGTGGAGAGTTCTATAAATGTTAATTAAGTCTACTTGTTCTGGATTTGAGTTCAAGTCCTGGATATCGATGTTAACTTTCTGTCTCAGTGATCTGTCTAATATTGATGTTGAAGTCTCCCACTATTATTATGTGGGAGTCCAAGTCTCTTGATAAGTCTTATATATCTGGGTATTCCTGTATTGGGTGCGTATATATCTAGGATATTTAGCTCTTCTTGTTACATTGATCCTTTTATTATGTAATATCCTTCTTTGCTTCTTTTGATCTTTGTTGCTTTAACGTCTATTTTATCAGCAAAAATTGCAACTCCTGCTTTCTATTTATTTATTTATTTTTGCTCTCCATTTGGTTGGTAAATTTTTCTCCATCCCTTTGTTTTGAATCTTTGTGTATCCTTGCATGTGAGATGGATCTGGATGTAGCATACCAATGGGTCTTGGCTTTTTTTGCCTGTCTGTGTCTTTGGATTGGGGGATTTAGTCGATTAAATTTAGAATTAATAACAATATATGTGAGTTTGATACTGCCATTTAATGTTAGCTGGCTGTTTTACCCATTAGTTGATGCAAGTTCTTAATTATGTTGATGTTCTTTATTTTTTGGTATTTTTTAGAAAGGCTGATACTGGTTGTTCCTTTCTGTTTGTAGTGGTTCTTTCAGAAGCTCTTGTAAAGCAGGCCTGGTGGTGATGAAATCTCTGAGTGCTTGCTTGTTCACAAAAGATTTTATTTTTCCTTCGCTTATGAAGCTTAGTTTGGCGGGATGTAAAATTCTGGGTTGAAAGTTCTTTTCTTTAAGGATGTTGAATATTGGCCCCACTCTCTTCTGTCTTGTAGGGTTTCTGCTGAGAGATCTGCTGTGAGTCTGATAGGCTTCCCTTTATGGGTCACCTGACCTTTCTCTCTGGCTGCCCTCATAATCGCCAGATTCACCAGGGTTGAAATGAAAGAGAAAATACTGAGGGTATTCAACACATCTTTATTGATTACCTATTCTGTGCCAGGCCTAGTGTTGTGGATCGAGAAATACATAGGACATAAACTTTGTTCTTGAGGTGTTCATAGTCTAAGTCTAGCAGGGGAGAGTGGTGAAAGGGAAAGCAAATCTGTAAACAATTTATTGCAGTGCAGTGTAAGAGCTTATTATAAGTGATAACTCATTAACTGAGATGATCAAAGATAGAATAAGCAGTCTTTGGAGATTTTAGATTTCCTGTCCTTGCAACTTTTCAAGCATACTCTGGATGACCTAGGTTGGAATGTGGTAAAAGAATTCAAATTAGATTCCAACACATATTTTAGGTTTTATGTAATAATGGAATCTCTTTGAAAGTGAAGATTTACCACAGAATTCTCCAAACATAGTAAAAGGACTGAGAAATGGAGAAAAGCCTGTATCAGGAAGGCTGGCAAAACCTTTCTTGGCATAATCATGGGCTGTGGGCCTGAAATGAAGTTACAGTCAATGAAGCTGTTGGTTGAAGGATCTGGGAGGTAAGGAAGGGCTTGACTAGGGCTTGACTAGGGTATCAGGTGGCTGCAGGGTATGTAATTTTGGAACTGGCAGCCTAGAGTGGGAAGGTACACTTGAGAACTGAGACAGTAAAAGTTCTCTTTGGAGAGCTGAGGGACTTGAGTTACAGCTGGGAGGGAAAACAATGGTAAATCTGGGAAGTGAAACTGGAAGAAATGGCATCACTCACAGAGTTAATCTGCATTAACAAGATGGTTTTTGCTTATTTGATTTCTTTTGTTTAAAAAGAGAAGGAGCAGTTGGTTTGCCAAAGGTGGGTCAGGATGAATTATGCAAAGAAGTGGGGTTAGGGTTTGGCCTTGATGGATGAGTAAAATTTTTATCTGTCAGAGAAGGGAGAAATCATTGACAGACAGGAAGCACGTTGGGGTGTGTCTGTGTCTATGTCTGTGTGTCTGTGAGTGTGTGTGTGTATAAATAAATAAGTAAGAATACTTGGCAAGTAAGAGGAACAGATTTCTGAGGCGTGGTTTGAATTAGGCTGTGCTAGGTGTAGTGACTTAGTTTTAAGGCAGGTAGATGTCACATAGTGAACAACCTTGAATTTTATCTGTGTTAAACTTCCTAAAGGCAAGATATATATCTCTATGCAAAGTTTGATTATTCAAAATATTTCAGTTCACTGTGAGCTATATACTATATAAAGCATTGTTGAATTGCAAAGATGACAAAATAAGGCCCAATATTTGAAGAACATTCTAGATCCTAGGGAAGACATACCTGTAAACAATTATAACAGCAATAATAAAAAGGATAACCTGGAAAGTTACCATTGCTTTGGGAACATGGAGGAGGGGGCACCTAACTTCTTGAAGTGATGACACATTTCCAAATGGGTTCATCAAAAAGCAATTGAATTAAGCCTTGAAGGATGAGTGAATTCATAGTTGGAACACAGGGAAATTGGTATTCTAGGCAGAGGTATCAGCATGCACAAAGGGACAGAAGTGTAAAAGCTATGGGATATTTGAAGAAGTTAGAGAAGTTGGGTGTGGATAGAGTATAAGGGAAATTAGAGGGAGTAGTAGTGGAGGGAATGAGACTAATGGGTGAGTTTGATCAAATAACAGAGGGCTTCTAAAAGCAAGCCAAAAACTTCAGCTTTTATCCTGAGATGTCAATGAGGGGTTTTAAAAGTAGAAAAGTAGTATGTTTTAAGATTACTGACAGCCCCTGGATAAAGAATTAAGGAAAAAACTGGATGTGGGGGGAATCAGTTCTTTATTCATTAGAAATTGTTAAAAAAAAAAAAAAACCTATAGATTTTATTTATAGTATTTAAGTAATTGATGTCTGAAGCAGTGGTATTCAAATCTGACTGGCAGTGGGATCACTAATTTTCCAAATACAGAATTTAGGCCTTAATTCAGCCATTTTGAGTCAAAGTTTATGGGGGCAAAACAGGATATCTGTATTTCTGAAAGCCCTTGGTGATTATTGTGCTGGTCTTTTGAACCCATTATTCACTAAAGCAGTATTGTGTTTAACTCCAAGGAGCTTATATTTTAAATAATCATGGTTAAATATATAATTTCTACTGCAGCATGAAAGACTAATGAGAAACATTTTTAACTGGATATATTCATATCTATCCATTGTCAAGGACATTTATTTATTTTAAGGTAATAATATATTTTCATTAAAACTATTGATAATGTGTGATAGGGAATTTCCTCCCCCCATCTTTTATTATTTATTTATTTAGAAACAGCATCTCTGTCACCCAGGCTGGAGTACAGTGGTGCGATCTCAGCTCTCTGTAGCCTCTGCCTCCCGAGTTCAGGTGATTCTCTTGCCTCAGCCTCCTGAGTAGTTAGGATTATTACAGGCACCTGCCACCATGCCTGGCTAATTTTGTATTTTTAGTAGAGAGGGGATTTCACCATGTTGGCCAAGCTGGTCTGAAACTCCTGACCTCAAGTGATCTACCCGCCTTCACCTCCCAAAGTGCTGGGATTATAGGTGTGAGCCACTGTGCCCGGCCTATCCATCTTTTAGATTTTATTCCTTCTGTTTCTCAGAAGGACTGGAGAATTTGCCAGTAAATTCTACACCATATAGGACAAGATGGTTATTGCATTGACTATTTTATATTTAGAAGAAGAAAGCCAGGCACAGTGGCTCTTGCCTGTAATTCCAGCTGCTTGGGAGACTGAGGTGGGAGGATTGATTGAGACCTGGAGTTTGAGATGAGCCTGGCCAACATAGCAAGACCCTGTCTCTAAAAATTTTTTTTAATTAGCTGGGCGTGGTGGTGCATGCATGTAGTCCCAGCTACTCTGGAGGCTGAGGTGGGAGGATCTCTTGAGCCTTGGAGTTTGAGGTTGCAATGAGCTATCATTACACCACTGCATTCCAGCCTGGGTGACAGAGCAAGAATCCCATCTCTTTTTTAAAGAACAAGGTAGAATTTTAGAGGAGGGAGTTACTGGAGAGATTATATAGTCTCAGGGGTCAGCAAACTTGTTGTAAAGGGCAAGATGGTAAATATTTTAAGTTTGTGGACATGCAGTCTCTGTTGCAGCTACTAAACTCTGCCAGTGTCCGGTAAAAAAAAAAGCCATAGACAATTCATAAATGAATGGGTGAAGCTGTGTTCCAGTAAAACTGTTTACAAAAACAGCAGCTTTGCTGACCCTTGTTATAGTCCATTCCTGAGAGGGAAAGTGTAAATTGTCTAAGGTTATAAAATTAGAGGTTGGCAGAGAATTCACTATGTGGAATGTTGTTAGCAGTTTTATTTAATCTTCACATAGGTGAATAAATGAAGCCTAAGACATTAAAGAATTTCTCTAAAGTTAGTAAGTGGTACTGGGATTCACGCTTAGTTTTTGCTAGGCCAAATTTCTGCTTTCAACTACATCATGGTGGTTTTCCATGCTCTTCAATGTCTCAGAATGGGAATGCAGAGAAAAGCAAGATATTGTGATTTTTCAGCTGTTCTTGGCACATAATAGGCATTTATACATCAGTGAGTGTTATTGACTGAATAGGTTAGCAGTATCATGGTATGCAATGGAAGGCTTGAGCTGGGCCCTGAAGGAAGGGCTGTATAATTTGGATTCTTTGCATTTTTTTTTTAACATGTATTTCCTTTTGGTCAAAAATAATAAGAGAGTTATATTGTCATTTCTGATTCTAGTAGCTGCTGCTGGTGGTGACAATGTCAAATAACGGCCTAGACATTCAAGACAAACCCCCAGCCCCTCCGATGAGAAATACCAGCACCATGATTGGAGCCGGCAGCAAAGATGCTGGAACCCTAAACCATGGTTCTAAACCTCTGCCTCCAAACCCAGAAGAGAAGAAAAAGAAGGACCGATTTTACAGATCCATCTTACCTGGAGATAAAAGTACAGTATTTGATTTCTTCTCATCATTTGTATGCTTTAAAAAAATTATTTTGAGTTACCTGGATAAAAGATCTATCATCTTTGACTTAATTTTCCTTTAATGCTATTTTTCTAGTTAAATATTTCCCTTTCTTCCTAAAGTGGCTGAAGCCAAAAGGAAAATAGACCTATTTTTATACTGTATTAACTGTATCTGAGCAAAATTGTAAGAGAATAATTATGCTCTTGCCAGATTTGGGACAATCTGAAGTGATTTATTTATTTACTTTTTAAGTTTTTAAACTGTTTATGAAGTCACAAAATGTAAGAAAAATTAAAATGTCTTTATTTGGAATTTTTTTTACCCCAGAATTAGTTTCAATTGGAAATGTTTTCTTTCCAAAGTCTGGATTGCCTTTTCTTTATTCTGACTTCCTAGTCCCACTTTCAGGTTTGGGGAGTATGTATCAATAAGAATGGCAAGTAACAACTGAGAAAAAGATGCAGAGATAACTAGGATTCAGCATGAGTTTACTATGAATAATTCATACCGGGCAGGCTTATTTCCTTTTTATTGATAAAACTTCTATTAATAGAAGAGTAATCAGGATTTTAACAGTGTATATGAAAAGGTCACCAAGATCCTTGTGGACAAGGTTGTAAAATAAAGGTTTTGGTGTCCACAACAAAAGATGTATTTTGTTTGATACCAATAATGTTGATTTAAGTGGCTGTTGCTCTGGTAAAGTTCTCGGTATATTTGCTGGGCCCTATCCTTATGGCATGCTAAAGATACTGGCTTTCTGTGTGTAAGTAGTTTTCATGAGCTTCTGATTTAGATGGAGCTGGGTCACCACTTACCAGCTTTGTGATCTTAGGCATGTCAGTTAACTGCTTGATCTTTAGTTTCCTATCTTTAAAACTGAGATATTAGCTCACAGAGTTGTTGTGAAGACTACATACAAAGTTCCTAATAGAGCACTTTCTACACAGAAGGTACTTGAATGTTGTCTGCCTCTTTACTCCTTTGTTGATGAATAGAAACTGGGAGGCATAGCTAGTAGACTATATGGTAAAATCAGAACTGAGACACGTTTTTTATATATAAGCCTGCCACGGTAGAGCAGATACAACTAGCACAATGGTGAATTGCAGAAAATATCTCATGCCTAACTACAGATCGGGGGAGATGGTAGACGGTAGTGTCATGGTAGATGGTAGTGTCATTAGCCAAATAGAGAACACAGAAAGAAGGAATGAATTAGGAGTGTTGGTGATTGGAGAGCAGGGAAGATGATGATTTTGAACACATTGCATTTGTGGTGTCTTTATATAGATACGTCTTATAAGCAGATCTCATGTATAGTAAATGTTTGTTTTATAAGTAAAATGAGAAATATTAAGGACTTTTAATGAGTACATTGGGCTTGTATCTTTATGTGTATAAGTCCTTCTACTCTACCTTCCCTGTAGGTTTGTGAGATTGGATAGAAAAGAAGGCCAGGCACAGTGGCTAATGCCTGTAATCCCAACACTTTGGGAGGGTGAGGTGGGAAGATCACTTGAGCTCAGGAGTTTGAGACCAGCCTGGGCAACATAGCAAGACGTTGCCTCTACTTAAAAAAAAAAAGCTGGGCATGGTGGCATGTGCCTGTACTACCAGCTGCTTGGGAGGCTAAGGCAGGAGGATTGCTTGAGCCCAGGAATTTGAAGCTACACTGAGCTATGATCATGCCATTGCACTCCAGCCTGGGTGACACAGTGAGATCCTGTCTTAAAAAAAAATAAAATAGGCCTGGCACAGTGGCTCACGCCTGTAATCCCACAACTTCGGGAGGCCAAGGCGGGTGGATCACCTGAAGTCAGGAGTTTGAGACCAGCCAACATGGTGACACCCCATCTCTACTAAAATACAAAAAATTAGCTGGGTGTGGTGGTGGGTGCCTATAATCCCAGCTACTCAGGAGGCTGAGGCAGGAGTATTGCTTGAACCTGGGAGGCGGAGGTTGCAGTGAGCCAAGATCGCGCCATTTTACTCCAGCCTGGGCAAGAAGAGCAAAACTCCATCTCAAAATAAAAATAAAAATAAAAATAAAAATAAAATAAAATAAAAAGACATGTGCTTAACTTTGATTTCCTGACCAATTCATTCATATAGTAGCTGCCAACTTCCTTGGTACAAGGGGTATGATCTGAGCCAGTGGTAAATGCCCTGCAATCTTCTTCCGCATATATAGCCGCTTAGTTTATCCCTCAATTTAGATGTGTATTTTTAAAAAAATATTTTATCTTAACCGGTGTTCTTGATCTCTATAAATAAACAGGCTTTCAGCCCAAGTGTCTACATGTGGTGAAAGAGGACTTTTTAAATTAAAAAGTTTAAATTGTTCTTGCTGACTCAAACTAGGAAGGTAATAAGATTCTCTTCCAGTGGGCATCATCAAAACTAAAAACATAAAACATAAAACTTTAAAACATAAAACATTTATGTTTTAAAGGGCACCATCCAGAAAGCAAAAACACACAGGAAAGAGAAAATTTTCCCAAATCATGTACTTTATAATGGATACATATCTAAATTATATAAAGAAAAACTATTACAAGTCAACAACCAAAAGACAAATAATTTTAAAATGGGCAAAATATCTAAATAGACATATCTCCAAAGAACATATGCAAATGACCAATAAGCACATGAATAGATGCTGAAATCATTAGCCATTGATTTCCAAAAAGTGGAAATCAAAACCATAATGAGATACCACTTCACACTCACTAGGATGGCTATAATAAAAAAGATAATAACAAGTGTTAGTGAGGATATGGAGAAATTGCCACCCTCGTAATTGCTGGTGGGAATGTAAAATGGTACAGCCTCTGTGGAAAACAGTCTGGCAGTTCCTCAAACAGATAAACATAGAGTTACCAGCAGTACATGAATGTTTATAGCAGCATTCCTAATAGCCAAAAAGTGGAAACAACCCAAATTCCCATCAGCTGATGAATAGATAAATAAAATGTGGACTATCCATATAATGAAATATAACAAAGACATGAAGTTTTGATCCATGCCATGACATGAATGAACCTTGAAAACGCTGTGTTAAGTGAAAGAAGCCAGTTACAAAGGATCACATATAGTATGATTCCATTTTTAGGAAATGTGTAGCATTGGTAAATTCATAGATAGGAAGTAGATTAGTAGTTGCCTACGGCTGCAGATAGGGAGAGGCAATTAAAACTAGGAGGTGATTGCTAAGAGAGGTGGGGTTTCTCTTTGTAGTGATGAAATGTTATAAAATTGATTTTGGTGATGCCTTTCTAGCTCTCTAAATATACTAAATGCCATTGAATTTTACACTATATGGGTGAATTGCTTGGTAAGTGAATTATATCTTAATAAAGCTGATTTTTGAAAAAGAAGATTCCTGTCTGAAACAGCAGATGGAAGCAGAGCCTTCAGACATCATTGGGACCTGAAGAGACAATCTTATGTGCTAAATGGGAAAGTGGGGTTCCAGATATTGGGATTATAATCTTGGTTCTACCATAAATTGGCTGTCTGATCTGGGTCAATTATTTCTCTGTATACGTCAGTGCCTTCATCTAAAAAAGGTGAGAGTCAGAGCAGTAGGCATGTACAGTTTCTTTTGGCTTTGGAATCCTATAATTACATAAATGAGATATTGCAAAGGTGTGGCTAGATCAGGCTTGTCTGTATAGGTGAAAACAAACTAGGCCATTGTAACATACTTTATTCAGTGACAGAGCTGTAGAAAATCCTAGCTGAGTAACCCTAGGCTAAATCTGATCTGAAAATACATCTCATAGCTTCAAGATCAAAACTACATCTCTATAGGTTGAAAGCATAGAGGTAGAAAACAGAGTTAGAAGAAGTTCTTCAAAATGATCTAACAATCTTTCATCCTTTGGCTATAGATTTTCTATATTTCCCTGGGCACATAGGTTTTGTCCCTTTGCTTTAAGACCCTTGATGGCTAAAATTAATGCATACATCAAAATGAAAGAAGCCTGAGGTATTTTTCTTTTATTTGGAGACTTTGTTCAACCAGTAAGCTGCTCAACTTAGTCCTAGCAGGATACACAGCAATGCTAGTAGTCTTTGAAGTGGTATGCCCTTCATGTAGTATTTGAGCATTTATGCTAGCTGTATAGTTATGCTTTTTAATTTCTTTTAATTGCAGTATCCTTACTTCCCATTCACCCTATATCATTAGTAGGCTTTTGTCATTTGACATAGTAAATATAAAAGCATTTTCTAAACTAAGATAGAATATAAATATGAGGAAAAAAAAATGGAAACCTCTTTTTTTGATATCTACAATAATTCATTTTTAGTTGGGGAGGCTAAGGCTTAGAGTAAAATAAGTTGCTCAGGGTCTCAGAAGTGGAAAGTGGGAGGGCTGAGGGTGGTACTAAGTCTTCCTAAATGATCGTTCCACTGTAACATAACTATCTCTCTTAGTTGTTCTCAACTCTGATTACACATTGGACTCACTCATGGTGCTTTGAAAAAATACAGGAGGTTGGGAGTTGCAGTAGTTCATGCCTGTGATCCCAGCAGTTTGCGAGGCCAAGGCAGGCAGATCACTTGAGGTCCGGAGTTCGCGACCAGCCTGCCATCACGGCAAAACGCTGTCTCTACCAAAATGCAAAAGTTAACTGGGTGTGGTGGTGGGTACCTGCAATCCCAAATATCTGGGAGGTTGAGGCAGGAGAATTGCTTGAATCTGGGAGGCAGAAGTTGCAATGAGCCAAGATTGTGCCACCTGCACTCCAGCCTGGGCAATGGAGCGAAACTCCATTACCGCCCCCCTCCAAAAAAAAAAAATTGGCCGGGTGTGATGACTCACGCCTATAATCCCAGCACTTTGGGAGGGCAAGGCAGGCGGATTACTTGAGGTTAGAAGTTCGAGACCAGCCTGACCAACATGGTGAAACCCCGTCTCTACTAAAAATACAAAAATTAGCTGGACATGGTGGCAGGCGCCTGTAATTCC